CTGCTGTGCGACCCCTTGGCCTACTGGGCAAGTCACAGACAGTTGTGGCCGGATCTGGCCACGGTTGCTCCTGTCCACCGACCAGCATTCCAAGTGAAAGGGTGTCCAGTATTGCTGGGGATGTATTGACACCCCACCGTACCTGCTTGGATCCTGGTTTGGTGGAGCAGCTGGTGCTCCTCAAGGTGAGCCTCCTGCTGCTGGTGTTCCCCATGCTCCAGGTACAGATGGAGTGAATGCCACCCTCCTCACTCAGTCCGCACCTATTTCGTTTTTTCATTTTTTAAAAACCATTTAATGCCCCGCTCTTAGAGCTGGAGGGGACATTCACTGAATTATCAGCCAACAGGGGAAGAACATGTCTCTCGAGCTTCCGTGCCAGGATGAACTTGGAGGTATGGGCTGGGGCTACGAGGAAGGAGGCGGCCACAGGTCCTGGGCATGAACCACTAAAACTGCACTCTGCCAGGGTTGGGAGGCCTGGTGGGACTGCTGGTGGTGCGGCAGCCCCAGGAAATTCCAGGACTGAGGATCTCCCTAGTGAAAGGTGGTAGGAGGTGCCATAACCTCCAGCCACCGCACGCACGCACGCACACAGTCCTGGCTGGGGAAAGCCCAGACCTGTTGCATCTTTGATGGGCCTCAGGCTTGCTGGTTGCAGTGGAGTTGTGAGGCTCCAGGTGAGCTTATTGTAGTTGGACTTATCTTCACTACTTAAAAAGCTACATTCCTAGTATTTATTATGCTTCTTTAATGGACTAAGTTTCTGCAGAATTTATGATTTCTGCAGAAATAAACCTTCTAGGTTTTACAGGTGCTGAGGTAATGTAACCAACATTAACCAATGTGGCATTAGTTTAGATTGATAAAACAATTTTAAGAGATGTCAGCTTTGAAGCCTAATGGCAGCTCGTCCAAGCCTTGACTTCTTAAAATCATACATGGAAAGTTCTATGTGTAAAATACCCATGCTGCTGAATACATCATTATTTAATGCTCAGTTATTGCCAGGGTTCAGATTACACTTTGATTCTTGGGGGGGCGGGGTTCTGCAAGAAAATTTGGGCTGCCCATCACAATGCCCTAATAAAACCAGAAATCCCCCCAGGTTACAATTTTCAAATCTTATGGGGGGGGGGGCTCACCTGCCTGAGCTCCCCTGTAATTCAAACCCTAGTTATTTCAATTACCTATATAAAGTACCCAGTGAACAAGAAAAGAAATGGAATTAGTTTTCCCAGAAATAATGCCCTGCATGTTTTTTCCCCTAGGTAATGCTGACTGCAATCATAATTTTACTAGCTGAAAGTTTAGCTACTATTTGAGAGTTGTATTCTTACCATTTATCATAGTAAGAACCACCCAATGTCATCATTGGGAGATCTGCAGTGGACTGAATGTAATATATGGCCACGACATTAAAAAGCAATTCACTGCTTACCATGAAAATAATTTAAAATAGCTTTGTTTTCAAAAGAAGCAAAAGTAGTTGATAGGTATTGTCATAGGTATGATATGACAATGTGGAGAACCTGCTTGTGTAGAATGTATTAATTTAATTTTGATTGTTATCAACAGTTTGTATCTTTACACCTGAAGTATAAGTCCCAATATACGCACACACCCCCAGCCACCCGCCAACACATATTATACAAGAGTAAGACTTTACTTTTGAGTTATTATGCAATCCCTTCTATATACA